AAGAAAAATCGAAAAAACCGTGACACTGTGACACGTTTGACCGTTTTTTGTCACAGTGTCACGATTTTTCTGATTTTTCTTTGATTAACACAGGTGATACAAAACAAGAAATGATCAATCTATGTCATGAACGATATAAATACAATGAAGAACAATTAGAATACATTTGAGAGTTCAAAACATATGTCCCTGATAAAGCAATCTGGTGTTATACACGTGACTGCTTTTATATGGAATGTTGAATAATGCACTAAGAACATTAGACATCGATATTCTCTTCAAACTGAGATTTTTCATAACTGATCTTCATAATCAGTTAAAACAATTTCATTCAGAGGTTATCCATTCATCATCTATAGAAGTAATGACTGTTTACAGAAGATCAGGTATGTCCCTTGAAGAATTGAAGAAACTGACAACTAGAGGTCTCTTATCAATGAATTATTTTATGTCGACAAGTACAGAAAAAAAGCAAGCACTTGTATTTGTGGACCAGGCGTTATCCCCAAGTCAGCTTAATCAGGGAATTCTGTCTGAAATGAAAGTTGATGTTAAAAGCTGTTATAAACCATTTCATAATATTCAAAATCTGAGTTATCTTTCAAGTGAAAACGAAGTCCTATTTTCAATGGGTACAGTATTTCGCATTCAATCAATTCATGAAACCGGTAGTAAAAGTTGGAGTATTCCTCTAAAACTAGTTGATGAAGGAGATCAACAACTGCAAATCTTGAGGAATCATATGAGAAAGGATATAGGAGAAGGAAATGATGCATTTGCATTAGCACATTTGACGATCGAAATGTGCTAATGCAGTGTGGAAAAGCAACAAGAGTATTATGAACTATTGTTGAAATCATTACCTGAACATCATCCATATATTACTGTAGCATATTGAAACATCGGTAGCCTTTACAGTGGACTCAAAAGCTTCACTGAAGTAGTCGGCTTTCGCGGATCTTCGAAAAAATCAACTCCGGGAATAAAGGGTTAAGCAGCGTCTATGTACTATGAAGTTTGTTCTTTCTCACATACCACAATAAAAGTGTCTAATAGTGTCTTAAAGTGTGATAAACGTATATCTGTATTTTGTAGAATACATTCCAAGTGAAAACATTTTCTGAAAGTTAAAAACAGTTTTCTTTAGTGAGATATTTATTTTCCGGCTTGTAGATTGTCCTCTGTCTCTCTGCCATCACAGGTGTGAGACATTCACGTAGTTTTACTCAGATCATGCTCGTACTTTATT